ATATTATTGTTGCTTTTGTTAAAATAATCACAAGATGGTCACAAGATGAATATTCAGATTTTTTCCCCAGTATTCAAACAATTATGAACATTTTTGCTTTTAGATACAGAACAGGGTTTCCGCGTGTCTTTAAAAAGTCTTAAAGTCTTAAATTTAGTTGTATCAAATTTAAGGCCTTAAAAAGTCTTAAATTGTACAAGAAAGTCTTAAAAATTATTTCAAGAGGTCTTAAATTTGGGGACGGAAAGACCAGAATTGTGATATGGCTGAATGTAGCGATTAAACTTCAAAAGGCTTTAATTTCATTAAATAAACATGAGCGCTGCACATTCAAAGTCCGGTGCTGCGTTGCTTTGTGTTCTGCTGTTACCGGGGAAACAGTTATATTTCTACCAAACGCTCCACCTGCTGTCAGAATGAATGAGCATTTTCAATAAAACTGATGTTTTGTTAAAAGCTCAGTAAATGCAAAAATCGACCCATGTTTTTACCCTGCAAAAACGCAGAGCTTTAAATGTGAACTGGTGGATCGATAAGAAGACAATGCAGAATAGGGGTGTGCGATATGTATGGTCTGCAATAATATCGTAATTGTTGTTTTAACGATGTGCAATTTGATACTATGAGTATATCGCGAAAAGCAAATGAAACACCTACAGAGTGCGCGCATACATCAGATGATGAAGTCTAGCAGGTTAGACTAGTGCGCGTGCGCATTTATAGTGCGTTCTTTCACTGCATGAATCAGTCTATTAAAATGCATTTAGAAATATCACATAATTCAAGATATGGGGCAGAAAATGTATATATTTATATAATTTCATATTAGGGCTGTCAAAAAAAATTTGAATTTCGAATATTCGTCGAAAAAAACAAATTCGAATGCAAAAACGGGCCATTCCAATTGTAAGGTCTGCGTCAGCCATCAGGCAGCCTTATCAGTGGCGCACGAGATGCAATGACGATGTATGTGTCATTGATTGCATTTGAATGCTTTTGTTAGCCTATCCAGTTGAACCCACTAGATACAGAGCTGCTACGTTGTTCATTCAATATATTGCGGAAAACGAGAGCATCAGTGTGGAGATGTTGTTTACGTCAAAACTGAAACCAGGCCGTTCACACAGAACGCATATTTCTGTGATAGATAGGGACATCTATCAGCGTTGCACTCACGTCTCGCACAAGAGCGGCATGTTTAGAAAGCCATGTAAAATTAATGCAAGTTCAACTTTTAAAAAACATGTCTAAAGACGTTATGGTGGTTTTTCCCCATCCCACTGTATCTCGTGTTTTTAAATGAAGAAAGTAGCCTACTCTTTGTGATTGGTTTTCAGAATGTTCTGAAATATGGTTTTCAGTTGGAATATTTCAGAATCGATTCTGAGCTTGGGTTTTTTTCCCGCAAATGGCACGTGTGCGCACTAGAGACGAGGCGGGCTTCATTGCACAGAATATGCGCTGTGAGACACGTGCGCATATTGCTTGACAGTGTGTGCTTCCACCCGCCGTGTTTTACTTTAGATATGCATTAATTTATGCCATTCGGAATGCAGTACTATTAGATGCACGAAACTCGCGCACTGACAGACTTTCGCGTGCGCTTTGTGTTTGTTGTCCTGAAGTTCGATCGCGGCTGCGGTTAAATGCTTGCATCTCCGAATACTTTTATATGAAATTGATGTAAATACAGTCAGTTATGTTTTAAGAGCAGGACAGAACATCTGACATATCGAAATAGATTTGTGCATTAGTGTAAATGCAGCCTGTTAAAGCTGCAACTGTCTATGATCTCATCAATAATAATCAAATGGCAATAATGCTGAGGAAAAAAGAAAACCCCATAACTAGCCTATTGTCTGTAAACTTTTGGATACTTAAAGAACAGTTATTTTAGATAAGTAATTGTTTTAAGTAGTCTGCTTATATAATAAAACAATAAAGTACATTTTGCACAAATTAAATTTGATATAAAATTTATATGAAAATGTAGCCATGTGCAGTAATATTGAAAACTGAGAATGTGACGCATGGTGATATTGAGTTAATAATGATAATCGTAATTGAATTGAATCATGAAACCAGTGAAGATTCACACCCCTATTTTTAAGATGGCAGTACTGACATACAGAGATTCCAACTATAAACAAAAAGCATAGAAACTGCGATTTTGGTTTAAATGTAAAGTTGTAAAGATGTATTTGCATAGCAGAAGAATTAATTAGGAAAAAATGTAGATCAAGAATCGTTTTGGAATCGGATCGTGACTCCCAGAATCGCAATCGGATCGGATCGTGAAGTGCCTAAAGATTCCCACCCCTATTATTTTATTACGCTTTGAAGAAACGTGCATAATATTTTGCTCGATGCGCCCTCTTGTGGCCTCAGGAGAGAAGCCAAAAGATTTTTTCCCCCTAACTGAAATTATGCCTTTTAAATTCGAATATAATTCGAATTTTGATAATATTTAAGTAGAAAATTCGAATTTAGTTTTTCAGTCATTTTGACAGCCCTATTTCATATAGTTAATATCACACGAAAAGTGCCGTTTTTTTTCTCCAAAAGTCAGCATGATTACAAATGTGATATTGATTTTATACAACAGTTCAATAAACAAGAATTTAATATTAAGAGACTTACGTTTTAGACACCATATTTCCTGTTTTTGCTCTATTTTGCCAACAAAAATCATTCCAAACACATCCACAGCGCTGTATTTCTCCAATAAAATTCATTCCAAACACAGCCACAGCGCTGTATTTCTCCAACAGAATTCATTCCAAACACAGCCACAGCGCTGTTTTGTGTCTCTGGGCAACATGACGGTGTTTCATTCCTGAGTGAATCACCCGTTTAAATGATTCGGTTCAATCGCAATGACTCCCTTAATAGTGACTTGCTGCCACCTACTGGCAGTTTTAATTTCACATTTAAGGTACCTTTTCATTTTTAAAATAATTTCAAACATAGGACTGCTGTGAACTGACCACACAGAATATGAAGAATATCAAAAAAATCGGGTCAGCTGTCAGCACAATTAGAAATAAGATATCAGCACAATAACACATTCAGCAAAATATTGTCTAATTATTATCGATAAAATCCCTGTAAATTATCGAGATATCAGATACTATAGACATTGCCCTACCCCGCTCATATGGTATTAATTTTATTTGTGCAGGTCTTAAAGAGGTCTTAAATTTGAGCTTAAAAATCCTGCAGAAGAACTTTGCCTGTTGAATATTAAAAACAAATGAACAAACAAAAAATCTGAATCTCCATGTCTGCCATGCAAATCAACTGTTCCTGCTCTTTAACAAAAAAAATCTGAATCTCCATGTCTGCCATGCAAATCAACTGTTCCTGCTCATTCCCAGACTGGATCTCTTCTGTCCACTTTCCCTAATTGCAGATTAAATTATTAGATTTGTCAGTATTAATATTTTTATGCTTAGATTTTTTGGGGGAGATCAAACTTTAACACCGTGTGTCCCAACCAGACACGACGCGATAAAATGTATCTTTTCCATGTAGTTTTTATCCTAACCACCCGCAACAGCGACATGTGATTTGTCGTGTCGCGCCGCATCCAAGACAGCATCACTGATTATAACGAATTAGCCTATATTGTATTTTATTGCGTCGCGCCGCGCCGCTCGCATCCGGTGTAGACATGATGTAAGTTAATGTAGCTTTCTGATGCTGAGTTTGAATTTTCATGCCACATTATTTGAAATTAGCGCAGGCCAAACTTTCTTCTCTCACGGGCCGGATGTGACCCGCGGGCCGCCTATTGAGGAGTCCTGCTCTAAGCACAGCGCAGTTTAAACGAATAGCACGGTTTCATTATGCTTTCAGCTTCATTTGCCGTTTGATTTTTCACATATGCAACAGAAATGGCAGCGCTTATGAGTTGAAAAACGCGGTGGTCGCGCCAGTGTGACCGCACACAAAATTTTGTCGCACAAGCGGAAAAAATGGCCGTAAATGAGATCACTTGGTTTGTTCAGATATACAAGCTGAACCACTCTGAGAGCATTTGGAGGTGTGAAGATTTTGGGCTTGTCTATCCGCTGTAGACAGTAGTGTGTTATCAATATTTTTAATAGCAATTTTCTATTGACAAAAAAACTTGTATTTAATGACTAACTTAAAATATATTACTTGGGTAATGGTATCGTTGTTTTGAAAGTGGATACACTCATTAAGTCTGGAAATTGGAAAGTGGATTAGCTCCTGTAAACTGAAGTTTATCGACTGCAGTCAGTGGGGTGGTGCCAGCCTAAAAGGTAATAATTTCTGCACCACTGCAGTACAGTGAACTGTTTTCGTAAATAGTCCCACTGTCCTCCACTGGTCAGACAAACAGATGCCATTGATTGCTCCAGTGTTGCTGTGTTAGGTGTTTGGGATGCTTTAACAAACAGCAATGTTTTAACTGTGCCACATCGTTTACACTCCTAGAAGTCATCCTACAAATACTTTGTAGTTGCCTTGGCATAAGGTGGTATAGTAGAAAGTATTTTAACTGAAAAAACAGATCTATCACCTTTAGGCAGGTGTCTACCTAGTAACACATTTGCTTGACATTTTTGTTGTGTGGGGATTGCGTAAGTGGTATTGTTCTGAAATTTCTTACTGCATTTGTCTCTGTGGCAGTTGACTCACAGTCATGCATTCTTCTCTTCATTAGATTCACAAGCACTGCATTATGTATGGAGTCTGGTCTTGGTTTCACTCTTCTCCTGCTGGATCTGCTTTGGCTACATGACTGGCTGTTTGTTTGTATGCATATTTGTGTCAAAGTTAGCAGTACTTTACATACTTTATCAAATGTGTGTGTCAGAGCCAAGCCTCTGTATTATCTCTTTAGCTGCTGATAAGGCCTCTTTCACTCATAAATATAAATTATCATGTTGCCTGCTGTTTGAGCTCTGCAGTTCCATTGCGGGGGTGTCTGATTGAGATTATTACTCTTGGAGAGATCAAATGGTCTTTTGGTGCCTCTGGATTTCTTTGAACATATATTTTCTGGAATATGCATCAGATGAAGCTTGTTTTTTTTTTTTAAATGTTAAAGGGATAGTTCACCCAAAAATGAAAATTACCCCACGATTTACTCACCCTCATGCCATCCTTGGTGTTTATGACTTCTTTCAGGCAAATACAATCAGAGTTATATTAAAAAATGGTCTGGCTCTTCCAGGCTTTATAATGGCAGTGAATAGTGGTCAAGTATAAGAATAATATTCATATTTAAAACTTTATAAACCGTAATCGTTAGCTTTTACTAACTGCTGTATGCGCGTTCACAAGAGAGTGGCGTTCCAGCGTATGACGTAATGTAGGGCGTAGCGTAAGCTTCGGTGAGAAGTGACGAATGTGGAAGCACAGAGGAGAGAGCAAAACAAAACACCGGTCACGAATTAGAAGTACAAAATGGAGATTTGTAAAAAAAAAAAAAATAATAAAATGTCAGAGGATTTCAATATAAGCCAAGAGGAGACTGGTTTTCCTTTTCTTTGAAACAAAACTTGGTTCTCGTGAGACTGACATATTCTCACCGGAGCTTACGCTATGCCTGCGTCCTACACCATCCGCTGAAATGCCACTCTCGTGAACATGTGTACGACAGTTAGCGAGAGCTGAAGATTATGGTTTATAAAGTTGTAAATATGGATATTATTCTTACATAAATGCATTGATTCACTTCAGAAGGCCTTTATCCAACCCAGAGCCGTGTGGATTACATTTTATAATGGATTTATCCACTTTATTTTGCTACAAAATCTTCACTGCCATTATAAAGATATTATACGGCTTGAGGGTGAGTAAATCATGGGGTAATTTTCTTTTTTGGGTGAACTATCCCTTTAAACAGGTCGATTCATATGGATTATTTTTACAATGTCTTTATGAACTCTTTGAAGTGTCAAAAGTTTTGGGGAATGCACTTTCAAAGGTAGGAAAGAAATCTCTCAGGTTTCATTTAAAATATGATTATTTATGTTTTGCACATGAACATGGATCTTATGGGTTTGGAGCATCATAAGGGTAAGTAAATCATGACAATTTTCTTTTTTTTTTTGAA